AGATCTGACACAGAATGTTAAATTTCAGTGGCTGTTTGCTTTCTGACGTTTTTGTATGATGCCTTCTGTTCCTTTGTAAAAAGGAGGCTGAGGGGAGACCTTATCGCTCTCTGCAACTACCTGAAAGGAGGTTGTAGCGAGGTGGGTGTCATTCTCTTTTCCCAAGTAGCAAGTGGTAGGATGTGAGGAAATGGCCTCAAGTTGCACCAGGGCAGGTTTAGATTGGATATTAGGAAAAATTTCTTCACTGAAAGCATTATCAAGCACTGGAACAGGCTGCCCAGAGAAGGGGTTGAGTCCCCATCCCTGGAGGTATTTAAAAGATGTGTAGATGTGGCACTTAGGGACATGGTTGAGTGGTGGACTTGGCAGTGTTATGTTTATGGTTGCACTCGATGATCTTAAAGGTCTTTTCCACCTATGTGATTCTATGATTCTACTCTATGGTTCTATGATTCTATTACTATATCATTTATACTAATTCACCAGTTAAAGCAAGTTTCACCTGCCACACTTCTCATGTAAACACAAAGGAATGATGCAGACTCACAGGCCTTGCCAACATATATCTTCAATGATAAAAATGGCAAAAGCATAATGCTTCTCTCTTACGCCAATAGTATAGAATTTCAAGCAGTAAGCTAGACGATTTCCCCCTTTCTTTAATATCTTACACAGATGTGCTTCAGTAAAGCTTATCAACAGTTCACAGCAGAGATGTTGAAGGCAAAAAATTAAATAAACAAATAAAAAATATATGGGTTATAAAACAATGAAAGAACACATTGGGAAAAATACATTTTATTCACAGAGTTAAAACACAACAGGATATTGTTAAAAAAAATGAAAAGGGCAAAAATATGCACACGTCATCGTGTATACACAAATCTTTTCCATATTCCATAAAAACAAAAGTCTGTTGGACAGAAACACTCTTAAAGTTATGCAGTCAAACACTCAAAAGTTATCTAGATAATTCATTGCTATGAATAATGGTACAATTATTCATTGCTCAATCATATGCTATGTTTCCCCAGAGGGCTTAGTCTTATTCAGTTCACAGAGTGAATTATGCTCTCCTATCAGGGAGCTATTCAACATTTTGTTCTAACTTTATTGTTCCAGGCTTGGCACATCCCTTATTATTCACACACCATTCAAATTCTGAAAATGAAACCGGCAATTTCCTTCTTTGCCTTTCAGTGGGCACTCAACATCATTTATTTTTACCAGGTTTTGTGCAAGAACGCAACATGATCATCTCCACTTCACAGACAGTGAACTGAGCCCAAAGAGGTTAACAACAACAAAAAAAATTCCTTTAATTCATGGATGCCCAATTGTAGACATCTCAGGCATAGTCCTCCATGTATTCAGCCTTATACACCACAGGAAAATACGGACTGGTGATCAACAAATTCAGCTCCCTTGTTGTGCCAAACAACCAGCTACGGTCACTCAGAAAAAATATACTCACTGTCGATTTTCCAAAATTTACATTGTAAAGAAGAAAAGGCACTCGGGACTGGAAAAATAACCTTGCAATTCTTGGAAGAAAAAACTTAAAAAGTACTTCTGGGAGCATCAGATATAATTTCTTGAAGAAAATATTTAATCTTATAACAAATGGGAATAGCACATGTTGAGGCACATAGAGTTTTATACTTATCATCTATACAAATCATATTATGTACATAAAAACTCACTTAGGGAGGGTTATACTTAAATACTGGATTACATCTGAAAACTTGAAAAACACAATTTATAGGACTGATTCAATTGCTACTGTACGTTCTTTCACAGGCATATAGTTGATATAAGTCTAAATCATGGCTTGTCTTGATTACAGCTATTCCTAAGAAACAATATCTGAAATAATGCCACGATGCCATGTTACCATAGTTAACTCTACCTTTTTTTTACCTGGTAGCATCACAAAGGACTGTGATTTCTGTATTTCTATCTAGAGCTAGGAAAACAGAGGCAACATTCCTTTGGAGTTTACTCCTTTGGCGAAAAGAGTACTCTGGGCTACAATGAAATATCCTTGACCACCAATGATTGTCAACACAGCTTGAGGAATACATATCCAGAAAGACCACTGAAACTATTTGGAAAAGCTAGCAGCAAAAAATTACAGGAATTTTAGATATCAGCTCTTCTCTGGGGAAATAAATGTGTTTGGTTTGTCATCTGATGCACTCTGCAGTTGAATACTTCACAATTTTAAGAGTAATTCCTCACCAAAATCAAAGATGATTACTCCAGAAGACTGACTCCAAGCATCAAACTATTCCTTAATTAAAGCCTGACAAATGCAAATCATGGAAAATTAGTCATCATAATAAAGTGTAAAGCCACTGTGAAAATTAAAAGATAATAGTACCTTCCAGTGTTGTCCATAAACCAATATGTGTTTCTTGGCAATATCTAGCCGGTTCCAGGCCAACGCCAAATCTAGCTGATCTGAAGCAGACATATTTGTACCTAGGAAAAAAGCAAAGGACCTAGCAGTTTTCACACATTGATGTTATGCCTTTGCTTTGAAAATATAAGCCAATGGGACTGTATGTCAGATGAAAACAGGTCATATTTTTAGACAGGTACCTTTCAAGAGTGCAGTCAGAATTGCCAAATCAATGTCCTGCTGATCTTCTGACTCCGCATCAAATATGGTTATCTGTTAGAATTGCATAAGTATACTATTTGAGGTGAGGCAGAGAAGTCTGTAGTTATTTCTTCTTGGTAAGGGCTGTGGTAGATTAAATCATACACATTTCAACACAAACAATGGCAAAGGCCCAGACATGATTTCCCTTTGTTTCAGACAGAAAATGTACCATTTTGCTTTTTAATGCAATGGCATCCCAGGCAAACTGGCACAACCTATTGCATAATAACATGCATCTATTTTCTTTTGATTAGCCTTTAAAGCTGAGAAACATAAAAACGCAACACGGTTCATATCTACTCAGTTTTCAACTAGAAAAGAGACACTCAAATAAAGTAAAACAAAAAAATAATAAAAACCTATTGGGTAGTTTCCATTTTAGTGATCATTGTTACAATTGTCTTTACTCCCACAACACACACTTGGTACTCCATCATATTTGAAAAGTCATGGCAGACTGGTGAAGTTCCCAGTGACTGGAAAAGGGGAAACATAGCCCCCATTTTTAAAAAGGCTAAAAAGGAAGTCCCGGGGAACTACTGGTGGGCCAGTCTCACTTCTATGCCCAGCAAGATCATGGAGCAGATCCTCCTGGAAACTATGCTAAGGTACAGGGAAAACAGAGAGGTGATTGGTAACAGTCAACATGGCTTCACTAAGGGAAAATCATGCCTGAAAAATTTGGTGGGCTTCTATGACAGGGTTACAGCATGGGTGTGTAACGGAAGAGAGACTGACGTCATCTACCTGGACTCGTGCAAAGCATTTGATACTGTCCCACACAACATCCTTGTCTCTAAAATGGAGACTCATGGATTTGATGGATGGACCACTTGGTGGATAAGGAATTGGCTGGACAGTCACACTTGAAGAGTTATGGTCAATGGCTCAGTGTCCAGGTGGAGACCAGCAATGAGTGGTGTCTCTCAGGGCTCCATATTGAAACCAGGATTATTTAACATCTTTGTCAGGGACATGGACAGTGGGACTGAGTGCACTCTCAGCAAGTTTGCGGATGACACCAAGATGAGTGGCATGGTTGGTACTCCAGAGGGAAAAGATGCCATCTGGAGGGACCTTGACAGGCTAGAGAGGTGGGCCTGTGTGAACTGCATGAAAACCAACAAGGCCAAGTGTAAGGTCCTACCCCTGGGTCGGGGCAATCACAAACTGGGATACAGGCTGGGCAATAAGTGGATTGAGAGCAGCCCTGCGGAGAAGGACTTGGGGATACTGGTAGACGAGAAATGGGACACAAGCCAGAAATGTGCGGTCGCAGCCCATAAAGCAAATTGCATCCTGGGCTGCATCAAAAGAAGCATGGCCAGCAGGTCGAGGCAGGTTATTCTCCCCCTCTACTCTGCTCTCGTGAGACCCCACCTGGAGTACTGCATCCAGCTCTGGCGCCCCCAACATAAGAAAGACATGGACCTGCTTGAGCGGGTCCAGAGGAGGGCCACAAAGATGGTCAGTGGGCTGGAGCATCGCCCCTGTGAGGACAGGCTGAAAGAGTTTGGGTTGTTCATCATGGAGAAGAGAAGGCTCTGGGGAGATCTTATAGCAACCTTCCAGTACTTAAAGGGGGCCTACAGGAAAGATGAGAAGGGACTCTTTATCAGGGAGTGTAGTGATGGTACAAGGGGTAATGGTTTAAACAGAAAGAGAGTAGATTTAGATTAGACATAAGGAAGAAATTCTTTACTGTGAGGGTGGTGAGGCACCGGAACAGGTTGCCCAGAGAAGCTGTGGATGCCCCCTCCCTGGAAGTGTTCAAGGCCAGGCTGGATGGGGCTTTGAGCAACCTGATCTAGTGGAAGGTATTCCAGCCCATGGCAGGGGGGTTGGAACTAGATGATCTTTAGGGTCTCTTCGAACCCAAACCATTTTATGATTCTGTGATTCTACTCTCAGATGAGCACCTGAACCACTAAACACAGCAGCACAGTTTCAAAGTACATTTCAATACTCAGGAACAAGTTCTAGCACAGTTCTGTTAGTATCATAGAATCATAGAATGTCCTGAGTTGGAAGGGACACACAAGAATCATCGAGTCCAACGCCTGCCGCTGCATAGGACAACCCCAAAATTCACACCATATGTCTGAAGGCATTGTCCAAATGCTTCTTGAATATTGTCAGGCTTGGTGCCGTGATTACCTCCCGGGGGAGCTTGTTCCAGTGCTCCACCACCCTCTGGGTGAAGAACCTTTTCCTAATATCCAACCTAAATCTTCCCTGGCACATCTTCCTGCCGTTCCCTCGGGTTCTATCATTGATCACCAGGGAGAAGAGATCAGCGCCTGCCCCTATTCTTCCTCTTGTGAAGAAGCTGTAGACTGCGATGAGGTCTCCCCTCAGGCTCCTCTTCTCCAGGCTGAACAGATCAAGTGATTTCAGCTGCTCTTCATACGGCTTCCCCTCCAAACCGTTCACCATCTTTGTGGGTCTTCTCTGGACACTCTCTAGTAGCTTAGTATCCTTTTTTATACTGTGGCGCCCAAAACTGCACACAGTACTCAAGATGAGGCCACACCAGGGCAGAGCAGAGCGGGACAATCACCTCCCTCGAGTGGCTAGCAATGCAGTACTTGATGCACCCCAGGACGCAGTTGGCCCTCTTGGCTGTCAGGGCACACTGTTGGCTCATGTTCAACTTGCCACCGACCAGAACCTCCAGATCCCTCTTCACAGGGCTACTGTCCAGCCTCTTTTTCCTCAGTCTGTATGTACATCCAGGGTTGCCATGTCCCAGATGCAAAATCTGGCACTTGCCCTTGTTAAACTTCATATGGTTGGCGATCGCCCAGTTCTCTAATTTGTCTAGATCTCTCTGCTGGACCTCTCTGCCCTTGAGAGTGTCAACAGCTCCTCCCAGAGTAGAAGAATGGATAGAAATATATCTAAATTACAAATAAGACACTACTAGAAAAGAAAAAAAATAGGAATTACTCGATCTTTCCTGTGAAAACAAACATGTCTTGTGTTTTACTAAAATCAGAAAGGCTGTTATTTCATAAGCAACAACTGAGACTTGAGAAGTTAACTAAACAGGCTCTGAGGAACTTCCCAGTATATAAATCAGCACAGACACCTTTGTATTATCTTTATATTAGAGATAAAACCATTATTTCTTCAAGTGCTGTACCCACACCAACCCAACACAGAAAGAGCAAAAAGGATAAAAGCAAATGAAGACATCCTAAAGTCAGAGAGTGAACCCCACTCACTGACTCTCTGTGCTCCATGCATTCCGTCAAAATGTGAAATAGATGACTGGACTGTTTCTGTCCCAAGCTAAATGTGTTTTGAATCATCACTAAGACCTCCTCCTTCACTTGAGGGCGCAGCTCCCTGAAAAACAGACATAGAAGCAAGAATAAGTATATTTTTAGCTACTTCTTACCAGTCCAAATGACACCTCAGCAAAAGACAAAATTTGGGCTAAGCAGAGACATATGAGAAACCTCTTTTATTTCTACTTCTCTGTTGACTTATTCCTGCATTCTTTCAACAGAACAAAGCAAAGGCATCCCATAACGTAAATTATTATTCACACAGGCATTAGTTCTGACCATACATATATACTACTGGAAACAGTAAAAATAAAAAAGTTAACAATTTTCAGAAGATTGTCTTTGAATACAGAGCTAAAAATCACTAAAAGTTTAGAAAGCTTTTTCTTTCTTTCAATAATCGTATAGGGATAAAATTAAATTCCTCATTATTTGTTCATTAGGCTTCATACCCCTCCCATCTTTTTTTCCCTCACTTATCTTTCTGTTAACCTTTCCATCCCTATTTTCCTTTTCTTTTGAAATGGCAGGAATTTTTTTTTTTTAAAGATCAAAAATATGGAAGAAAAAGCAAGTGAAGAAAAAAATTCTCAATACAACACACTAGGGAGAAATACCAGCCCCCTAAAAGAATATTTAGAAAAGATAATAAATGAACAATTAGGATATAAAGTTTATTAAATTGTTCTTTTTTTTTAAATTGGAACGAACTCAGGCCACCTTTTTAAAATTTGATTTTCTATTTAAAAAGCCCTTTTGACTTTGAAAAACTTTCACAAAAATAGTAATTGGCTATACAAATATAAATATATATATTTATTTCCATTTTGGATGTAAAATTTTCATCAATGTAGGTTTAATAGAGTCTGCATCTGAGGCTGCACTGGAGGTGACATAAAGACTTACAGCTAGATGAGGATGAGAATTCTGGGTTACCACTGGGTAAACCAAAGCCAAAGCCAAGGAACCTTAGTCCTCCTCCTACCCTAGCCTAAGGCACCTACAGTAACTAACCCCAGCCCTAGTCTCAAAAGCTTTGTGCAACCCAAATCCAAGCCCACTTACAGAATACTGACGGCAGGAGAAAGGACTGAGTCAAAACCCAGGCAGGCACTCTGGGGTCACCCAGCAGCATCCCTCGCCAAAGGTGACAAACATTGCAATAACTCAACATAGCTAGATGCAGTTTCTTTTTTCGCTTCAAAAAAGCCTTAGTAGATTTGGCAGAATAATTCTTTCAGCTCTGGTTTGAGGCAAGGAAGGAAGAAACTGCTCTCACTTCACAGAAGTAAAAGCCAGCAAAAGACCATGGTGGGGTCATTACTAGAAGCATTAGAAATTCTCTCAGTGGCTTTGAGACAGGCATTTTCAGGTCCCTCCCAACACGACAGACCAAGCAGGAGGAGCATTATGCCACTACTCACCCTGTATCACCCGTGTGTTTGTGGGTAAAAGCCAGGATATCTGCAGCTCTGCCAGTGCCCTCATAGACCACCACGGGGACAGCTGGGCTGGCCCTCACGTACTCCCACACCATTAGGATCACATTGGGGCCTCCTTCCACCACCAACCCAACTACGGGTACACCTTGGCCCATTCCTGTTTCAAAACACATCTAACCAGTTACAAACAGGTCTCAGTCACACAAAAAAAATCAGAACATCTGGTAAATAAATACTCATGAAGGAGTGTCATACATGGTTCAACTGAGAGGAAATCATGCCTTCACCATCTCTAATTTGACTTACACTTTTTAAGACTTTCACAGAACTTCTGCACCCAGATCAAAAAGACCATGAAAACCTCCTGATAAAATTGTATGCGGCCCTAGCACTGGAAAGAAGAAACATTCTTCAGAATATCTCTCTGCCCTTTATGATAGCTCTCACACGCAAGGACATTGATGGCATTTGAAATGTTGTCAATATCCATTTGTTTACCTACACACATAGAAAAGTAATCAGGCACTTCTTTACAGACTTTCTCAAGTTTTACAGCAGCAGGGTGGCTTTTTTTAACAATCAGAAATAAATTTCAAATAAGATCCAACAGAAATGGAAAACCAACAGAAAGTCTGATTTGCAAAAACTCATAGTAAGAAAAGGCGTAAAAGGCTGAGTAAGAAGCTCTAAATATGAATATATTAAAAACTGGTTAAGTTTCTAAGTTTGTAAATACTATAATGTGAGCAGATAAAGGAAAGGAGGATTCAACATCATAACTCTGCTAATGTCTTTTTAACATACCTCAAGATTTAAATCACTAGGTAAGAGTGAACTTCCACAAATAATTTATACAATCTAGTGCATAAAAATAAATACTTGTCTATGTAATAAATATTTCATTCATTATTTCTGTACCATAACTCAGTTACTGTAAAGGCAAACAATGGAAGTTATGCAATCTGACAAGCAAACATTGGCTGAAGGTATTCCTTTTGCAACCAGCCTTTGTTTCTGTACCTGAGGAGGTCACAGGCTTGCAGTACAGAAGAGTGATGAGGATAAAAGCAATGAACAGGGGAAGAAGGATTCAAATTCCACTGAATGTGACAATTTTTCCACCTAGCAAAATGCTGGGAAACTATCTAGTGCTAATATAGAGACCACACAATACCGCAAAGTGAGCAAATGCTCAATACTTACTGAATAATCTGAGTCATTTAGACGTCTCTACAACTGAGAAACCAAAATGTGAGTTAGCCCACATGCATAATGTTTTATAAAAATGCTGTGCTTTTCATTTTCCTGATATTCAGTGTTCAAGACACCTGCAATTAATAACTTTCAACCTCAGTGAAATCCATGGCAAATGAAAATGTACAAGATGTAACAGGAAATGTCAAGTACCTCCACAACTTTTAGGACAGGTTTTTCTGTCATAAAGCTGATCACAGCACTACTCACTTGTGTGTATTTTTTGAAGTGATATGTACTTCTCCAAATTCCTCCTGAGCATCATTTCATTCCCATACTTGCCTACTGTCCCATCATCTGCCATTAGAAAATGAGAATGCATGCTGTTGAGGGTACTTAGCTTGCTGAGTGGATTACCAAGAGTCTGGTACAGGCAGACTACCTAAGAAAACCAAAATAAAAAGATCGTCAAAGAAACCAACAAAATATCACCATTTATGTTGCCTCGCTTGTATGTATTTCTTCATCATATTGTGATCTGAAAGCCTCCATCATGATTCTTGCTGCTCTACTCAAACATGGCTTTTCATTTCATTCTTAACAGCAACAAAACCACAATTAATACCACAGAAAGCATTTCTGAGTAGGCTTGCAGTCCTTAGGCAGAGTCACTGCCTGCCTTTCTTTGCAACAGTTGAAACACAGTGGCATATGTTTCCTGGGTGTACTCCCATTAAAAACATGTATGTGAGCTGTCATTTATCAAGAATGATTTCACCTTACTTGTCAAGTGTTTTTAGACAGTTATGTAGATTGTGCCCTCACATTGGCACTCACATAAAGTTCCAGTTTATGAATAAAAATCACACATATTAATAGCCTATTTGTGTATACGATTAACCTGATTGCTAATCCTGAATCACATGAATACAGAAATACACCATTTGCAACCACAAGAGAAATGCCTAATTAACCACAAAATTTCAAAAAGCAATGGCAATTTCCTGTAAGAAGAGAAATATTTTAAAACTATTCATTTACTTACAAAAAAAAAAAATACAGTGCCTCAAAATGCCACAGAATTCTACACCTAAACAAAATCTAAGCCTCTATTACTTAGAAAAAATATCAAACGAGTGAAATGAAGTGAGCAGCAAATAAAGTACGCAAGAAAGCTATAACATCCCCTGAACATGAAGGTTTTTACTATTAAAATGTGTCCAACTCACATCTTTTCCAATGAGGTCCCTCTGGTTCTCAATGATACCCCATGGGGGAATCCCAACAGCACAGATCTTTCTCAGATGTGGTGAGGCACGGCCTTTCAGTGCATCCCCCACATGCCTGGACACTCCTAGACAGATAATTAAATAATCATTTTTCTTCTACACTTGGAGACCTGCTACAGGACATCAATGAAAGGGTTTCCCATCATTTCATTTATTCTATGGCTATGTTTTAACCAGAAACAAACCATCCCACCCCACTTGTATATTTGACATGCACTGCAGGCATTGTAAAGCTCAGACACAATGCATCAATCCTTCAAACTGAAGACATATTTGTAATTAATAATACTCATATATGTTGCTAATGGTGCTTTATTACCTCCATAAAAAATTCTTATTATTTACATAAATGTACAGAAGAGTTCTCCTGTAAGGTTAGCAGACTGAGTAAAAGCTAAAGAAGTAAAACTGTTTCAGTTCCATGGCTTACTGACCCCCTCAGTTTTTGAGAGTAGTCTACAGGGAGTTTCAGATACTAATAGGCTAATTAATGGATTATCATAATTCAAAACTTTCTTAATTATAAAACACGAGTTAAATTTAGATTTGAAAACTGTTTCAGAAACACCAATCACAGTCCTGAGAACCTAAATATTTTAATGGAGCAGATAAAATTGACTGCAAATAAGTTTTGGTTATCTACTATCAGTGTTTCTTATTACATGCAGAATACAGAAAATTATTACAAATATTCAGAATGCCTGTCAACAGCAGAGGAATGTGATGTCACTCTTTGAATTATGCATTGTACCTTAAAAAAAAGCTTCATTTTGTGCTAAAATATCACAAATTATCAAACAATTTCATTATATTTGCTCTAAATGTATATGCTTATATGCAGAGAAAGAACACCAGAGGAAGACTGAAGCAAAGAAAAATAATTACACTACCGCTGTTGATGCCTTCTGTAATTATCCATGCTCCTGTAGTCTCAGCAGCCTTCACCAATCCTTTGCTGAAAACCTGCTTGACCTTTGAGGGAAGCTTGAAATTTTGAATGCCTCCATGAACAGAGATCACTAGCTTTGGCAATTCCATCTGCCATTCTTTAACCATCAGGTGCAACAGCTGATCCAAATTGCTATCATAAGAGAGTCTAATATACTGGAAGAAATAATGGGTAAAATAAACTTCCTTTACATACTCAAAAGAAGAAACTGCAACACCTTACAAAGTTCTCAGCATTAATGTCTTAAAGATTTTGTGCAGGATTAGAACTTTCACAATACTGCTAACATGATAGCACAAAAATACATCAGTGAGGAATACAGAGAGCAAAACAGACTATACTTAACTGCGATGAAGTTCAATGTAAAAAAATCATACACACACTCTAACCTGACTTACTTTTACATTCTCCTGCTCTCTGAAGACAAACAATCTGATATTCACCCCAAATCACTTTTTGTCTTTCTTATGCTGAAATTATAAAAAGAAGTCAGACATATAAACACAGCTTCTATTACCTTGGCATGGTAAGTGTGATCTCCATCTTGAAAATTGATTGTACCAAATGCATCCGTTGGACTCGTCTTCGTGTGTTTTTGCACAGACCATTCTCCATCATTTCTCTGTAGGGCAGCCTGATACACAGGCCAGCTACAGTCTACTCCTGGGTGATCTCCAATCAGCCGTCCACAGCAACATCTCACATTAAAAAGAAAGAAATTATTTTATATCAAACACACCTGCATGCAACTCTAGGATCTTCATCAGAATAGCCCAAGTAGTTTTTTTACAAAGAAGGATATTGTAGCTTGCTGACGTAGAATATAACAAAAATTAACACAGCTGAAAAAAAAATCTCAACAATGGCAAAATGACATTGAATTAAATCATAAATATGTTTTGTGGGATACAGAATTTGTTCTCTATCTGAGGAACACTAATAACAGTTGGGGGGTTGGACTAGATGATCTTCAAAGGTCCCTTCCAACCCAAACCATGCTGTGACTCTGTAACAGTTTGAGAGTCCCGTACAGCAATTCTGACCCAAGCAATGCAGCTCAGATTCACTGGTCTCATATGTGAGATTTCACAGGAGTATCTTAGGACATCAAGGTTTGCTATGGTTATTACCACAGGTTATTCTAGGTACTGAAGAAAGATCTAGGAGTTACCATCATTAATCAGGAGGAGAGGAGCAACCCTCAGCCTAGAGAGAACTTCAGGGTGACCTTTATGCTAACCCTTGGACGCCAACAAAGTGAATATACAAGATAAATGGATTGAAGTGTAATGTTAAGGGAAATTTAGCAGAAGCTCAGTTAGCATTAAAAGTTTGCAACTGGATGAATAACCCAGATTCCAAATTCAATCAGTATTACTGTCATACAGGCTTCGACAGGCTCCAGTCTCTTCTACAGGATTAACTTCAATGTAATTTATAGTGACATCTGACAGTCCAGTTTTCCTTTAGACATTTCAGAAGTTAATATACCCTGGGAAATGGAGATAAATTCTTCACTTTTAGTCTTCTAAGATACCAAACAGCTTCCAAAAACCCAAACTCAATGGCTGCCTTGGGACTCAGATGTATTACTTGTGGATCTAGGGGCAAGTTAGATGTAAACAACATCTGCAAAACCCTGAAGAGGTACATTCAGAAAGAGAGAGTTTTCTGTGGAGATGAGTGAGAACTAACTGGTGAAAGAGAAATAGATTAAAAACAACAAACAAACAAACAAACAAACAAACACAACCCCCAAAACAACCCTAAGCAAATTAAGGAAGTGAACTGTTTTAGAAAAGCACTTTTTGATACCCAGAAACCATGAAATTATGTTTGCACTCCAGTTTTTCAACACAGGCAAATTACATTTGATTGATTCAATGCTCTGCAAAAGCAGACTGGTGAAGGAAGCCTCCCACACTCTTGGGGAATTAATAACTCAATTAAACAATTTTATTCAATGGAGGATTAAAGAGTGAAGCCTAGCACTGCAGAAAGGACTTGAGTTCTATTGTCACATGTATGATGATAGTTAGCTAGAAGTCAGAAGGCAATAGGGACTACTGAAAATGCCCAAATTTTTGTCAAGTTAATTCAATATAGATTAGCTAACCTAGACACCTACACCTTTTCCCTAGCTGAGACAGATAGTAGGATATCACAGAAATCCAGGGACTTGCCAGAAGGAAGTCAGCATGTGCTCACAACTGGATCCTGGAAAAATGAAGAGGAAATGATCTAGCTGGGGGGGGAAGCCTCACAGAGGGGTTTTTATCGCTAAATTACTCTATCCAGAAGTATTGCCCATTCTGCCTCACTGCATCCTTCCACAACCATTTCCACTGTGGTGGTGGCAGAAAAAAAACCCAGAGATTATCAGAGGGGGCACAGGAGCTGCTGAAACAAACTATTGTTGAGCCCAAAAGCAAAACCCGTTGTAATTTTGCCTCCTTATAAGCAAACCAAGACAAGCAGGTCAAGGCTCATGAACTGAACAAAAAGTATCCAAGCTGGAACTTGGAGAATAAGCCAGTCACACCAAGTCACTTACAGATATACAATTAAATTACTATTTCAGAAGAGTGTGAGCAATTGACACAGATGGAAGATCATTGCTGACATCATGTTGTCAAATGACATGCGGACTCAGAATCCACACTCAGAGTCACTAGAGACACACCTAAACTAAGTGCTTCAGAGCAATGTAGCTGCAAAGCAGATAGCACAAGGGAAACCTATTTGGATAAAATCTGTCCACAAAGCGCGCAAGACCAATGACTATACTTGTTTAAAACTCTCCCTGCATACCGCAAAGGAAGGACCAGAAGAGACAGTTTTGATTTTATTACTGGTCTTCAGAAGACAAATTTCTTTACAGCTGAGCTATTAGCTTCCTTGCTCCAGTTTTTTCTGCTTGCTTTTTGGGGGGACTCCAAGGTAAGAGACAGCAAATGTCAGGAAAAAATTGATCTTTAGATGAAAGATGAGAAAAAACATAGATATCCTGTTGTTCTTTGGTCCCGAAAATACCTTGTGGTCACTGTACTGCTCCTAGAGTGGTCTCACAATTAACAAGACCTTTCATCCAGGAGTCATTCTGAAAGACAAGAGAGCCAATAGCTGTCCCAACTAAATACATTACCTTACATTACTCAATTAGATACCACATTACTCCATCTGACTCAGCAAATACCAGTGCTTGGAAGGACAGCACTGAAAAGCAATCAATCAATCAGGCTCATCATCAATGGATTACATTTTCTAAAAATCTGAATTAATTTCAGCCCATCATCAAAATATGAGCACAGAATGACTATCAATCATCTCACACGTTACTGTTCCTTACAGGGTCACATCAGCAGCCCCTGCTAGAGCAGCAAGAGCCAGAGCAACCTGCCTTTTCAAAGCTGAGATCCTACAGAACGGAACTAACCATCTGACAAGACAAATCAGTGCAGTAACCTTAAAACTGAGAGGCCAAATGAACACTGAACTATTTTAGTAATTAATATAATTTGCACTATATACTTAATGTTTACATGTAAATGCACGCAGAAGTAAACTGCACTCAGAAAAGCTCAGTTATACTCAGCAGGCAGTGGAGGAACTGCACATAGACCTAACACACAGGTGTGCAGGGTACATGCAACTGCTTTTACCTCAGAGATTACCACAGCAAGAGGTATGAACTCAAAAGGACTGGTATTTCCCAAATTGCTCATGCTCTGCTCCAAGCTGGCACACTCGCTCTCTCTAGACATCTCACAGGAAGGGGCACGGTGTTAAGGACTCCTGAGGTACCTGGGAGGTCAAAAGCCAAGACTAAGAGGCTCTCACGAAGGCTGAGGAAACCAAAGCAGAAAATTACACACAGATGTTTGGGTTTTTTCTGTAAAGTTTTGTGCTGTGTGCATAGTGACACGGTTCAAGGAGGAGAGGAGCTACCAGTCAGGGATGATGGTGGAGTCAGGATCGCCTGGGAGCACTTGATCCGCACGTGTCCCTGGGACCTGTCAGGCTGCACCCCAAGGTGTTGAGGAAGGTGGCTGATGCCCTTGTGCAGCTGCTGTCCATCAGCTCTCAAAGGTCATAGAGATCATGGAGGTCCCCAACAACTGGAGAAAGGCAAACGTCACTCCTGCCTTCATAAAAGGACAAAAGCCACTCTGAGGAACTGCAGGCCAGCCGACCTCCCATCAGTCCCAGGTAAAATCAAGGAGTGAAACCTCCTGGATCCCATGTCTGGGCACAGCGGGGAGAAGACAGTGACAGGGAGCAGTTGGCAAGGATCTACCAAGGGTAAATCATGCCTGACCCACCTGACTGCCTTCTGCGACAAAATCCTGGGAATGAGAGGAGCGCAGCAGATGCCATCTACCTCCACTCTAGACAGGCTTTCAGCACTGTCTCCTCCAATATTCTTGTACCTGGGCTGTGAAATTACAGTCTGGGAGGGACGACACATTGGCAAGCGAGGACCTGGTTGGGTGGTGGGCTCACAGGGTGGTGGTTATGGGTCAGACACTGCCTGGAGGCCGGTATCAAGTGGGATCCCCCAGGGTCTGTGCGAGGCCTGTCCTGTTCAGCATCTCCATCAGTGACCCGGAGGAGGGGATGGAGGGCATGTGCAGCCCTGGGGAGGGGGCAGCTGTGGGACATGGCCCTAGGTGCTGGTGGGCAGCGAGATGAGCCAGGGCCACCCATGTGCCCGGGCAGCAATAAGGGCCAGTGGTGCCTGTGGTGGTGCAAGCAGGACACGGCCCAAAGGCCAGGGGAAGGCAGGGACTGTCCCTTCTGCTTGGTGCTTGTCAGACCCTGTCTGGTACTGCCTCCAGTTTGGGTCCCCAACACAGAAGAGACTGCAGCAAACCGAAGGGACTTCCGGGAAGAGTGCCCATCTCAGTGGCGGATGGTGGGGCTGGAGCCCTTGCCCTCCGAGAAGAGGCTGCAGTACCAGGAATGGTTCAGCTGGGAGGAGGGATGGTTTTGGGGGCATCCAACAGCACCCTCAGTACTGACAGAAGGGGATAGAGGAGATGGAACCAGGCTCATCACAGTGATGTGTGGTAGGAAGGTGAGAGGCAGTGACACAACCTGAAACATGGGAGGCTCAGCTGGAGATAAGGAGAAGCCTGTTCCCCAGAAGGACAGCCCAGCGGTGGAGCCAGGACCTGGGGAAGGTGGGCTCTCTCCAGCCTTGGGGGTTTCACGCCCCAACTGGGTGAAGCCCTGAGCAGCCTAGTCTGATCCCCCAGCTGAGCCTGCTCTGGGCAGGGGCTGGGACTGGAGACCTCCCCAAGTGCTTGCCAGCCTGAGTTATCCTGTGATCCTATGAATGTATTATATACATTGATTCAAAGCATCTTTCCAATGACTTTACCTTCTTTGACTCAAAGGCTCACTAAGTTACTAGTGAAGGAGGGAGCAATGTCAGCAACACAAAAACAGACTCTTGGAAAAGCCACACTTTGAGCAACAAGAGGAAACCTGGAGGGTTGACACCAAGGTAAAAGTAACTGCAGTAGCCAGATTACAAAATCTGGTGCCCTAGCAGGCAGCACTTTAGAGACTGTGTCCAAAAATATGCCCCAAAAGTCAGATATAGACACAATTTATGAGAACATCTCAGATGTGTAAAGATGCAGAAGTTTGGCAACACATTCCTGAATATTCGTGCAGTGAGATTCATCTAGGTGCTGTCTGGGATGTGCTTGTGAGTACTGCACTGAAGAGCAGATAGAGGCCATTTCAACACACCAGGAAAGTATGGACAAAGGTGCCAGTAAGTTACTCAAATTTGATTAGCAAATACTAAATGGAGTTATTCTACTTAGTATTAGCAAATAGTTGCATAACCTACTCATAAACTGTTCGCAAACCTTAGAAGTTCTCTGCAAGTAAGAAATCATTAACAGATTTCATTTGCCTACAATATTAGATCAAATTATAGTAGGCATCAAGTACATTCACATCACTTTTGGACTCCTGTGGAAAATTACAGAGCTCAGGAGACCTGAAACGTGTTTCATTGCTGATCTAATAAATACAATATAACCAGTTATAACACCTGTGTGAAAATTATTTCTCCATGCTAGAACAGAAAAATTCTCCTAGAACAAAGCTTTGGGTACACCTTAAGATATACAAGAACATTCATTAACATTTGGGAAAATGTACTCGCAAGATAACAGCTGACTGAAATGAACATCAGACACCCACATACATTCTGCATATATAGACAGACCAACAAATAGGATTCACAGGAATTTAAAAAGCATGAAAATGCTCAACAAAAAGTGAAAGAAACAACTACAAGATAAAAAAAACACAAAGGTACGGAATGGCTTTACAGACAAAGAAAAAAACAAACCCACCCTGTGGGGTGCACATTTCCAGTTTCTCTTCCTCCCTCTCCCACTGTAGTATTCACATTCATGCAGCTAAACTGTGTTTGATTAGGAGGCTGATCTGGTGGAAAGCTAATCTTGGCTTGGTTTTCCACCCCAACAGGTTAATTTTCATGCCAATGAGCTTCCCAGACCAAATAACAACGTGGTCACTCTGCAGAGGGAAGGGGGACAACTGCAGAACTGCTGTAGTCTCTACATAGATTGGATTAAACCACCACATTTTGAAGCACAAGTTAACTTCAGCTTAGATATCCACTTGGCTATCTGCCCGTTAGCAGGAAGCATTAAAATCCTCCTTGCATTTCTACTTCCAGAACACCTGCAAAAATCTTTGAATCTCTGTTCTTCTGCCCTAAAGCAAAATAAACATGCGACCATTCCCTCAGAGGGAGTTGTCCCTTTCTGAACAAATGCCACACAGATCATTTGCCTTACTTACAAGGCCAACATCATTCTGTATATTGGCCCTTTACAGTGATCTGATTTCAAGGAGTAACTTACTTGCTTTTTGGAAAATGTGACTCTTGTTTCACATAAATCTCAGAAGCAAAATAAAATGTGAAATGAAACATAATGAAAAAGCAAATAATCATGCTCATGCAGATGACAGGATTACTTAGCATCAGCTTGCTAGTCATTAGTTATCAGAAACTCATTTTCTGTTGCTTCAGCCTTCAGAGGCCTTTAACACAAAACAAATCTCAAGGAAAGTTAAAATTTTTGTTCCCAAGAACTGATAATTTATTATCATAAACATACAGTATCAAAACTTGTTTGGGAACACCAGCTGGACAACAAATGTTGGATTGAAAACAACTAATTAATACAAGCCACAAAATACTAGCTGTCTGAAAAACCCACACATGATTTAAAAGCACCAAAGTAATGTAATTTTTGTTGCTCGCCTTCCCAAAAGCAGGGACTCAGAACGCCCACTGTAGAGAAGATGAAAAAATCTTCAGAAAACCTATCATCAGGGATGTTTCTGTTACCCTGTTTCTTCTCCCTTTATTTTGTTCTTCCTCTTTCTGTAATTCTTACTGTTCTCCATTAGTTTCGTTTCACTCTTCTTCTTATCACCCAGGATACAGCTGGAATTATCTCCCATTTAAAGGCACATTTCTGCCTTTCATTTCTCAGGAGAAGATTAAGACAAACTCATCCACACAAAGTATTTGGATAAAATTTTCTACTGCAAATAATTTAAAGGTTATCATACAATTTATTTTACCCAGATCCATGCTAAACATTCTCCAGCACACACCCAGAAATGCTACGCTGACAATACAAGAGGAAGGTTATTTTTGTTGTCGTTACTTCCTTGACTAGGAATGCCCATCACTAACTTCAGGTCATTATACAAATCATAGATATATATTTATGCACTCCTACCTGATCAAATTCTGGCACACCTGGCAGCCTGCAGGACACCTGTGATAATAGATGGATAATTAATGCATGCTTGTATAAAAGAAACCATCTGTAATGGTATTCATAAAATATCAATTCACCCATGAAAAAATGTTTATCCACAGCATTAAAGGCTGTGTCCTTCTGCACTCACCCCTGGAAGATGTACTGGGTAACTTCAGTAATTTGTTTGGTGTTTTACATCTCAGACTGCATGTCAAATCTGCGTTTCACAGATGAGTTCTCTATCTTATCTGCTCTACACTATTCAGGTGATCAAAACAATATGAGCAAAATTACAAGTTTACATCCCCAGAATGTGGTCTCACTGAGTTTATTTAGGCAACGCCATCCACTAGATACACAATCTGGGATGCCAAATTATGTTTGCTTTCTCAGGTCCTAAAACACAGGTTGATCTTTTCCTTACTCTTTTCACACTCCACACCAGCCTGAGCAGAAACCTCTATCTCACAAGACTGTGATCAGCAGCAGGCATTATTCTGAGGAAGGGAGAAAATGGTGGTACTGGGTTAAGAATTCCTGTGCAGCAGTAACTCCATGTAACTCAGTCTCTCAACTGGATGCCATACCACAATTTTGGTTATTGGACTGAGAGCAATACACCTAAGAAGCCTAGGAAGGTCAATTGTTGCCAATTTCTAGTTCAAACAAACAGCCTCGTTTAAAATGTACTGGTGACAGTATTTATGAAAACCCTTAAACACCAGCAATCACCAACTGGGGCATTGCAAAACTGCAAAGAACTTCATCTAAGCTACACACAACGCCCATAAAAAATTACTCTGATTCCTTCTAAACGTAACAGAAAGAAAGTGAAATTCATTGTTTTACCTGTGAGGATCTTTTGAACTGGGAATGATGTGTGCACATTCTCTTTTACTGAAGACCTCTTCAATCCAAGATTTGGGGGACTGAAAAGATATTTCAAATGTAATTGTATTCCTGAACTCAAGAACATAATGCCAGAAATTGCACTGTAATGCCTACATGGCTGTAGGCCCATAACACATAACTCAGAATGATTCCCATCATGATATGAGCTGAAACCAAACACTATAAGCTGAAGCTACAGCTCTGAACAGTCCTAGCCCTTCACTCCCAAGCTTTACCCAGCTCCACAGAAAGATCAATATTAAAATTTATTCCCACCCCTCACTAATAAACATGAAAATTATTTAGAGAATCTGTCCAACACATGTACAATGGAGGATGTGGTAAGGATGTCTCAGAACTGCTTAAAGGACTGCACTTCCTTTCTGGCAGAAGACTAGCAAATGGCAATTTTACTAAAGCTGGAAGTGTCAAAAAAGGCAATATTTTCTTTTTACCTGAAAGAGATGGTTGATTCCTTCTTTTATTATTCTTAACAGAATTAAGAATAGATTCATCTTGGTTATATGTTTGCTGAACTAAGACTACAGTGAAATGCAAAAGCAGGAACCAAAGACTAGACCTAGCACTTAGACTGCATGTCAGGTGGGTGTTTTCCACTGGCCTCCTGGGACACTGTGAAAACTGTTTCAGTGAAGCCTGAGTAAACCGAACAGTCGCTGTGGTACACAGATTTTTTTAAAAGAATCTCACTGGGAGGCTGTGAACCCCTTTCTCTTCAGGTCTATCATGACCAAATTCCCTGAAAGGAATAATAGTTTGTGGATGCTGAACTTTGAAATCTCTGGGACTGAATTTAGTAAACACTGGAAGCAAAGGATTTTTTCTTGTTGTCAAAGTGAACTCCCTCCACAATGAAATGGGCAATGGACAGATATTTTATCATAAAATGTAAATACAATTAGACCAACTATTATTGTCTCATTGTTTCTCATGTTAATCTCACTCTCTGTCTATCTATTGTGTGCCTTATGCATAGACATCAAGCTCTCTAGGACAGGGCACAGCAGGGTCCTGGTTTATGATTACGCATACAAGACAAACAGTAATCAAATAATAAACATTGACTCCTTATTCACTCCTCATGTTTAAAAACAATGGTTCCTCTGCAAAATGTCTACCCTGTAAAAATACTTATCATAAGTACTTGTCTCCATACTTGGTTATAAAATGCATCTTTGATGCAATGAGTTAGAAAAGAATTAAATTCATGAGAATGCCAGTAATTCAACTTATTAAGAGTACTGCTCGGAGCACTTTATGGATGGAGTTCAGCAATAATTCTTATAAAAGAGAATAGCTCTCTTTTATCTCCTGAATGCAATTATGATCTTTAATAAAGCAGGCCCGTTTGAGGTTTTTTTACTTCAGCTTTACATCCCTAAATACGCCTTCATAATCTTCCTGCCAGTCATGCAGTTATGGGGGGCCATGAGCTACCTGAGTGAACTATCGGCTTTTTTTCAGGTGGAGACCCAGCTTCCACCAAGACTAATGGGAGTCCTACCTTTGGTTTCAAAGTACTCTGAAACAGGCCCCCACTGCCAAAGATGAAAGGGATCATTAAAAAGCAGTTTGCTGGTATTGGTGTGCATGCATATTTTTCTGGGAGCAACTAATTGAATTGTGTCTGGTTGAGCTTCAAATGAAGGAGTAACAGTGTGGAAGATCCTCAGGGCTGGACAGAGCATGGGCACACAAGAAAATTAATTATCTTAGAAAGAGACCTACTGAAGACAAGGTGCATGTCTGCAGATGGAGACCCAGCTTCCACCAAGACTAATGGGAGTCCTACCTTTGGTTTCAAAGTACTCTGAAACAGGCCCCCACTGCCAAAGATGAAAGGGATCATTAAAAAGCAGTTTGCTGGTATTGGTGTGCATGCATATTTTTCTGGGAGCAACTAATTGAATTGTGTCTGGTTGAGCTTCAAATGAAGGAGTAACAGTGTGGAAGATCCTCAGGGCTGGACAGAGCATGGGCACACAAGAAAATTAATTATCTTAGAAAGAGACCTACTGAAGACAAGGTGCAAAAATTAAATCCAGAGAAAAACCTTGGAAACAGTGAAGCAAATTTCATTACCTGAGGGCAGGTACACACTGCTCTCGAAAACCTTTTGGTAGTACTCACATTAGCAATCAGTATTGTTTCATGCTTCCTAAACCACTTTATTCTAGTTGTTTGAGCTAGCAAGCAAAACAGTGAAATGTTTCTAATATTACAACACTCTGGGACTCTGATTTTTCTGAAACCCATTACTATTTCTGGTAATTGGTTTTCAATCAGAACTAGGGAACAGAAAACCTTTTTATATTATGGGATGCCTTGAATAAGAATGAACTTTACTGAACTCTTCATGAACAGGAAAGGGTGTGACAGAATGACCAAGAGGCTGACAAGCCTCACGGCATTTGCTGAGGCAACATGCTCAGCCTTACGAGAGAAGAACAACATCCAACTGCCATCACTTTGATTTAGTAAGAGCACTAGTCGTTCAAAGTAATTTTGAGCAAGCTGTTGGCATCGCCAACAATCTCAGGTAACTTCCCCCGAGCTGCTTCACCTCCAGCATGACATATTTTGGTAATCAAACGTTATGTGGCTGTCTTTCCAGGTGTGAAAGCCGGCATTGGAGATACACTGGAGAGACCAGTGTAACAGGGAAGCATTGCACCAGCCTAGGCACCAACAGCAAAACATGCTGCCAGCTGAGCAAGGCACTGGCACTCCACTAATTCACATGTGAATACATTTGAAAAGGGGTGTCAAAGAAGATTTTATCTCCAAAGCTCAGTGTGCCTCATCATAAAGTTACACAATACAAGATAAAACACAAATCAATAATTTTAAAGGAGGAAGAGGTCATCTGGTACCCAACAGCTGTTTGGTGTGGTTATTTCAAACCAAAATATAACTTACAATCCTCAGGAATGGCAATACACTGTGTGAGTTGAAGTTACATCATCTAATGTGGGAGACGAAAAGGCTTCTTCTCTACTCTCAGCTTTTTGAACATCTAAGCTGTCTCCTAAAGAACACACCTTGTTTCAAAAAATTCTCTTTTTTTAGATTTTGGAGGGCAGCTGGGGGTTAAGACAAAAATATGAACGTGTAAAATTCTGGGTATTTTGTGTATCCTTTTTCAATTTGGTCCAAAAGCATCTGTGTTTTTCTGCAACTGAGGCAGCAAGGACAGCAACCAACACAAGCCACAGCTGATCAGGCCACTCCAGTCACAATGGGTCGGGCTCAAGGTCCTACAAAGCCAATGGAACAAAAATCCTGTAGCTTCAGGTCACGTGCCATGAATCTAATCTTGCTACTATAGAGGTCATTGACAAAATTTCAATTTATTTCAGACGAACAAGATCACTATGAAATTTATTTGACCTTTGAATCTCAAAGCACCAAGGATGCACCTCACCCAGTGGCACAGAGACTCCCCTAGCACAACACTCATGTCAGTTAACTCCACTGCAGGATTCTCAGTAAACAGGACTAAAAACAACATTTCAAAGTGCAATTGATAGAATACTGGGAGTTTTCACCATGCCCTGCAAAGAAACATAATATGTTCCCATACAGATACTTCAACATTAATCTTTGCTTATTTACATAAACAGTTTGCCAGTGTTGCCTATGCTGTGCTCTTTCACCTCCTTGCTTCCTGTAATTTTTACATTTAAAAAAGCAGTACTTAGACAGCATATCATCTGTATATGATCCTGATGAAGCCTGTAACTTTAACATTTATTTTCATCTCAAATGATGAACATGTGAATATAGCAAAAAACATCACTTGCAAAGTCCACCATTTTTTTTCTTTAATGAAGTTCCTGAACAGATGGTACTACTTAAATGTATATATATTGAAATTCCAATCAACCACAGGAAAAAATAAAAGACAAGACCACACCACTGTATTTCATCTTGTGAAGCACAAATTTCAAAACTGAAACACTGTGAGATGCAACACATTTACCATTATTCTTAATTTTATATAACGTGAAATCTTCACTTAGTGTGTACAATTTACACCATAACAATAACATTCATTTCTTAATCTAAGGCTTTACTTAGGTTTCTAAGCTAGTTGTATAATCAGGAAAAGGGTTTTAAACCTTCATGCTTTTTACAATGATCCATGACTTCAGGGCTGGGCAAGTAAAAATGAAAAGAGGGGACTTCTGAACAGCTGTTTGTTTGCTCTTGGTTCCTAGCTTTGTAAAAGACCTCTGTAACATTTATATCTCCTTTCATAAAACTCTGGCTAACATTTCAAAACTGTTGTCATTTAATTAAACTTCAACAACAAATTAAAATTTCTCCTGTCACTACAGTGACGTACATGTACCTCAACCAGCATCAACCCGTATCCTTTCTACGACCAAACCCTGAAGGAGACAAAAACACACCTACACCTTCCTTCTGACTGGCAAATTTCTGTTCTGATACACAGAAGACCTGAAGCCAAGTTTATATTGCAATTTTCCTTCTGATTTTCCTTCCAGAAAGTCCTGAGACCTTTGTTTGGGAGTTTTGCCTTCTCATTTCTCACCAGTCTGAGGATTAGGATTGCTGCTTATACTTCCCTGCCACAGAATAGGCTTTGGAGATTTCTAGACTGATTTAGTCAATGGAGTGGCAAGAGTTTGGCTCTGAAATTTAAGCCACATGAGTAGTTTTTAGAAAATTGCTTTTAATCACTTCTCCAATATCTTTAATGTCTGAGATCCTTGCATAATATGGTATTAAAGGGACACTGTCGGTCAAACTTGGTTAAACATTAGTAATGTTCAAAAATTAAGCTTTCCAGATGTAAAGAAAGAGATCAGAGCATAAAATTTAGAGAAATACCTGCTCCGCTCATTTCTTTTGAATCCTTGCTGATGGGCAGTGAGAGCAGACAAAACGTAAAAACGCAGCCTAGCACTGAGGTAATCTGTCCTCCAAAATCCAGGGGTGCTATCAGCGAGGTGAGTGACCATGCCACCGTCCCGCCAGGGTCATCGAGCAGCTACACAGTGCCTGGCTCGCCTGGCTCACCTGCCTCAGGTCACAGAGCAACACAGCCCCGCGATCACCTGCTGCTGGTGCCCGCATTGCTTTCATCACCCACCCATCCAGCGCAAACGGGTGAATGCTTCCATTTTTGCTGCTGCTTTCTTCTGCCCCAGCCCACCCCACCCCCTCGTAAAGGACTTGCCAGAGTCAAAGCCATTAGATGCACTGCACCAATTAAACACTGATAAGGAGAGGCTAATGTGCATTTGTCCTGCTCTGGAATTAGCTTCACTAAACCACCATCTGCAAGAAACATTCAGCCCCTTCAAGACCAGACAATAAGCACTGTTCATTGGTTGAGTACCAAACTCAGGAAAACTAGGTTACACTGTCAATACTAAACAACAAATTTTTAGTAACATTAGCTGTACCTATGTCCCCTTTGGTGTCAAAGGCACACATTTTGTAATGAAACAGCATGCTGCTCCAGACACTGTTCAATTCCCTGCAAAAGGAAATCAAAGGGCACACATCTCTGTGTCAGAATAATTTGTTCCATTATTGAAATACAACCATTTATTGGACAAAACAGCAGCAACTGCCTTTAATGACACATTGCAGATGCACACAGGGGCAGATAATTAGAAATCATATAATGACTAGCCAGTTTAAATAACAGGCTAGTTCATTTAGGTAAAGTACAGTCATGCTGGCAACTAGCCAGAACAATCAAGTTACAAGTTGCTTACTGAAACTGCAACAAATTTGTCCTGATAACAGAGTGCAATAATTTCTATCTTGTGTCTTAGCCAAAACACTACTTCAAGAGCTAAAAAGTGCTGCCAAGCACCTTACCTGACTCAGGTCTGTACACACTGTGTGTGTAGTGAATCCGCTACACACAACCACTTTCCTATGTAACTTCTCAAGACTTTGGGTTTTCCTAAAGATCTTAACTATTACAGCCAAGATTTTTTCATTGCTGAGCAGGTTTGGCAGAACCTCAGAAAAAAAAAAAAAAAGTATAGTTACACATCATGTAACTCTTTTTCCGGTTAAGAAATTGTTACCCTCAAAATGATTAAATGAAAACAAATACTCATTACATAGCAAGAGACAATCGTGGGGGTAATAGATTTGCCTCAGGACTCCAGTATACTTATACAGTACCTGTAAAGAACCTTTACTGCTGATGGAAAGAATTAGAAATACCCAAAAGATCCAAAACTAACTTTCAGTGCCTGGGAAGGAGGGAAACATAATTTTCAGGTGAAAGCATACCTGTAAGAAGTCGGTGTAGGGCAGTGCGTGACCAACCCTTATTCAAATACACAGTGAGGGGAGGGAAAGAAGAACTTCCCCTTATTACAGCCACTGAAAAAATCCAGCCTCTGGGTTCAGCACAGTGTCCTAAAATATCTTAGATCCTTTTAAAAATTAACTACACACAGAGCAAGTCACTTGCAAGAACATTAGATACCTGAAATGCAGCCAGAGTTCTTGTAAGCTAACACTCAAGACTATTTCACAAGAGCTCAGCTTGTAAGCACATTGGTATCTCTTGAACTCTTACCCCTGGAAACTCTTCCTGTTCTCTAAAAGCGGAGGTGGACTTGCAGGTATCATCATTTTATGCATAATAGTTCTTAAGTGAAAAACAGACTTCAGCAGTATTTCTGCATCCCATGGCAACTGGTAAACTACTGCCAGCATTTAAGAGATTTCCAACTTAACAGGCTGTCTTGGATAAGCTTTTCAGGGCAGGAACTTTCTGGTTCAGCATCCACTACATGCATGCTGATGGTATGAAGTAATATAACAACTGATTGTAACAAAGAACATCACTTTGGATCCATGAAGGGTAGAAGTGCATTGTAAAGCTCCAGGGTCATGTGCAATAAAGTATTAACCCAGTGTGAGGTTTTCAACAAACTCTCAGGTCTTCTAGAATTTCCTTGTGTTCAGCCTACGTTGTCAGAGGACAACAGCCTGGCTTTGTAACACTGACATGCCGTGGTTCCCCTCACCTCCATCACTACAGTACATCAGTACATCTGTAACTAAGGAGCATCTTTGCTCTTCCAGTATTTCTTATCTACTCCTTTGCCCAAGTGTTCAGGACTCTGCACATCTGTGGAAATACTGCATTGTAAGTAACAGAATTTGCAAGAAAATTTTCATCACTACATTTCAAAAAGACTTACAAAAATATTGTGCAAATAATTTCATTTGAATGCTTCCACTGTTGTTCACCATGCCCAATTATAAGACAACTATCAGTTAATCCCAAACTGCCTTTGCAGGCAGACTGCAGATTCAACAGCACTGAAAAGTTACTCTATTTTCCACTTTTAAAGATAACACCTAATTTCACATCACAGCAGAATTTCTGTGATTATTTCCTAGTAATTAATTCAAACACATCCACTGTAAACATATTCTCAGATCTGCACGGATACACTACCTACACTAACAGAAGAGAAGTCACCTGTGCTAGCAGGGGGAAATGAAGACCCAAGTCAGAGAGGGATAACAGAGCTTGTTAAAAATCTTCAGTCATACTGAAGAGAGATTTTAGATTATTTTCCTTAGCACAAATGGAGCATGTCAGCTTCTCAGAAATCTATAAATTCAGTCTTCAACCAACAGCCTGCTATGGCATTGTCTTTCATGTTTATTCAACTGCACTTAAAAGCTAAGTATGTATGCCTAAGTGCTTTTCTGGATTGGGGCCTTACATCAAAGGCTCATAAAAATGTTTCCAATATTTCGATCCCAAACTTAGACAATAAAAGAAAAACTCTTTGACTGTAATGGGCTTTCTAACATGTTTCTTCTGATCTCAGAGTAGACCACACAATGCAATTGGAAGAATACTTCTGAACACAAATAGCAGTGGGGTCATGACAACAACACGCGGGAAATACTAAGTACAAAATTCTCTCCTTGTCAAAGAAGCTCCGGCTTGACGCCCAGAGCACAGAGCTAGCCAACTGACAGAAAGCTTAGCCCAGTCTGAAAGACAAGGCCTTTAACTGATTTATTACTTCTTATTTTTTAAGTTTATTAACTAATCAGTTAAGCCTTTCTGCTATCCCTGAACATGTAATGTTTTGGAAAAACACAACAAACAGCACTGCCCCAAGAGCATGCCCAGCTCAGGGTGCAGGTGCTCATGGAGGGACCCCTGGTTTGCAGCTGGAGGGTCCAAGCAGACTCTCCTGTCCCCCTGCACAGCCCACGGCACTGGACTAGAGGGGGAAGACGAGAGAGCCTCTCACCTTAACAATTCTGCCAACAGCCCAGGCTTTTGCAAATGAGCTAAACACAAGAAATCTCAAATCACAATTTGTTTTCCTCAGCCTTACCCTTGAAACAGGCCCCAAAAGCATTGCTAAAAATCCTATATTGGCATTAGATAGCTGCAAATTACCTAAAAACAGGTTTCCTGGTCCATTCCCAGACTGAAAATGACAAAAAGTCTCTATGACATGAAACATAATTCGCCCTTCCGCCTAAAATAGGCCGCTCCAAAACCCACTGGTCTAAAAGCACAGTGATCATTGAGAAAGTTTGGATCTGGCTGTTTCATAACTGTGTCCCATACAGGCAATGAAAAAATCTGTGCTCAAAGCTGATGGCAGCTACCTTGCTCAAAGCTGGCGTTTGTCTTACATCGCCAGCATTAGAATACAATATAATACTGTGTATCATCTCCTCTTATAAAGCCAATTCAACAATAAGCATAAAATGTGGATTATTTTAAAAGCTAGTTATAAAGATATAGAAAGACATCTAAAGATTTTAATTGATCGAAAACAGTTCAAATTGCAGAATAAATTACAAAAGACACACAAAACTTTTGGCAAACAAGAGCAGGCACCAGTAATAGAGCAAGAAATGGCAAATTAATCCAAACTATATTTGCAAATTATTATAAATCCTTAAATATAAAATGACCTTATTTTACTATGTCTCTTTCGGAGACAAAGGTTGCAGGGTTTCCTTAATGAACGCTCCTGTCTGTCTCACTGACAATATTTGGAAGTCATTAATACCGTTCATATCCCAAAGAAAACCAAGCATTTGGTCTTCTTTTATTAACTAATGCAATATAATCAGAAAATCCCACAAATTCAAGGCAAGTTACATATCCCCTTTGAAATGATCTTATTGCGAGTAATTTTAAAGAAGTGAAAATCCAGGCAGCCATAAGAAAATGATGCTTCAGGAATATTACTCAGACGGTCAATACAACGCTTCAAGTCTTGCTCAGATTTCCACTTTGGGATCACTGGAAGCCAGTGCTGCTTCTTTGTTCAGCACTTCATGTTAGCAAAGAGCTAATCAACTTGCTATTTTTGAAACTGGGTCTCACATACCTGGCACGGAGCGATCACAGAGGTCAACCACCCACTGCTGTTACAAATGCATTCCTCCATCAAAGGATTCAAAATTATACAGCACAAAGCTCTTCCCAGTTTAAACCAGGAGGAGGAAGAGAAGAAAATTACTTGCTGGTAAATTTCAGAGCTTTCTTTTGTTTGTTTTATATTTTTGCAACAGGGGGATTAATATTGACTAGAGAGGTGACTCTCTGAAGACAGGATATATCTAAAGTGGAAAATGAATGCAGTTCGCAAAATTCAGCTGGAGGAAGCATGAAGGGCCCCAGTAAGTCACAGCTTAGTAGCAATCTGTATTAAACTGTAATACTATGAAGTTTAAAGGATGTGAATGACCCACACAGCTCACCTCTGGAGCCACATGACTGTTCATGTCACTCCTATCAGCATTGCTCTTTTTGCTCCATTGCTTGTCTCACACGGTAATAAAATCTTCATGGGCTTAACAGCCACATACAGCAGCCCTTGCACACACTGCAAGACAGGCAGACTGTCACAGGACTGAAATCCCATTTTCCAAAGAGAGAGGGAGCACAGCTCAGATGATTTCTGAGGAGGCTTAAGGCATAGTCCCACTTCTGCGTTTCCCACCCGACTGTGGCTCACCACTCTCCTTGGGTCTGCTACCCCACCACCTTGCAAAAAAAAAAGCTTTCCTTTGTGGTGCTGTCTTGCTTTTAAATGTAAGTCACA